TTATTAAACGTAAAATCAGAGGAGTATTTTACACCATAAGTAAATTTTTGAATGTAAAGAGTGGCACAAAATCTTTACAGAGTTTCAATGCGTTGATTAATCGGAAGCTCAATACTTAATTACGCTTCATAAGGGTTTCGAATTTTTCTTTTTAACCGCCTTTATTGGAACGATTTATTTTTTATTTTAACTGGTGAACCACTGCGGCGTGTTAAACAAGATTTTCCACGTAAAATAAAAGCGTTTGTTACACGTGGAATTACAATATTATATAGCAAAAACGTATATGTATACTATATATCTGTTAAATCTATATGGTAAAAAAAAAATAAAAGTAAAATCGGAATCTTTGTCACGTAATTTCACTAGAAACTACTCATTCGATTATTTCAATTTTTTTTTTTCAATAAACAAATGATTATATTGCGTATCACGTTTTAAGCTTAATTTCAATTTTACATGTTAATTGAATAATAATTTATTTACAATTGTTTATTTTTCAATAACTTACGGCGTGACGCGGCAAAAAATACACAGACGTGTGCTCTCCCCTCAGTCAGGCGTCCCTTTTACTCACCACCGTCTAACAACGCCGCCGACGCCGTCATGCCAATACTTAATACAGAACGTCCGGTGATTGGTGACGTTCTTTTTGTTAGGCGTAAATTAGTCCGATAAATTAATTATGTAAAAACACGTTTTGATGCGCGAACGTTATAGCAGAAACAATTAATTTAAAATGTAACTATTGTCATGCGATAAAATTGTCAAAAGAACTTTCAGGTCTTAGCTGTTCTGGAGAAAAAGTTTTTTCCCGGTCTGAATCGATAAAAATTCTCTTAATCGTTCTCATCAAAATTCAAAACTTTTCGACATGATTCGTCTACAATATTTGGCATTTCAAACGAAATAGTCTGGTGCAACAGAAATTAGGCATGGTAACTTTAAGTCGACATTTAAAGTTCAAGATCAAGATTTGGCTGGTTCTCTATTACCCAATAATCCAGGAGAATCAAAGTTTTTACAAGTATATTTTTTTACATGTGTAAACAGATATTGTATGATTAACAATACGACGATTATATATATTTTTTTGTATTTGCTATAGTACTCTAACCTAACATAAAAATAAGCATTTCAGGTGAAGCCGGGTTAGTGTTATTATACATACCCACACGTACAATAATAATATGTTATATCTAATGAAATTGTATTTTTTTATCCTCCTCCCCTAACCAAAATGTAATGATATATTTAAATTACATAATATATATATGTTATTATCTATTATGTATGGATATTTATTATGTATAATTACGTATTATATATTATTATATTATATATTTCCGATGATGAATTGCGATTACTGTTGCATTGTTGTATTTGTTACTTTTGTTTTGAAATCGCAACACGACGGCGATGGGACGTTGAATTTCAGCCGAGTAGCATGTGAAGTAACACTGACATGGTTCATACACTACATATATATATATATATATATAATCATCCGTGTTATATACATATAATAGATTTATACGATTAATTTAAAAAAATTTAGTGATTTACTTTTATTTATGTTCATCCTAGGGACATTTAACAAATTTGTTTGGTCCATATTACATAACACTGCGTGCTACAAAAATGTTTTATCGAAATTAGCGTAAATCTACGCGTAAAGACAGTTTTGATCACGAACTCGACCGAACCAAAGCGGGGCGTTATTACCTTAGAAAGTCACGAAAATTAATGTCTTTGTTTATTTGCTTTCAAGTCGAATAGACTTGACGAGTAATATTTTTAAGAATTCCATCACACATTACCGTGCATATGTTTACGTTTAGTAGCGTGAAACGAAATTGAGACAGCCAGTTCAAACAATTAGATTTACCCACCAACCTCTTCCTATTTACTACCCATTCAAATACCAAAATATTTTTTTTTTTAAACATCTTTAATTATTAAAGTAAAAATATTTAATTATTTAATATACTATTTTAAATAGAAAATACTTGTCAAGTAATATATAAAAAAATTAATTTTAATTTTTTTAACATTTAAATTTTTTAAGCAGTTCAATTGAACTATCTGAGATCGTGTTCGGCGCCACTGTTTACGTTTAAAAAAGTTATATTTACGATTGAAACGATTAAATGTAATGTTATGGTAAAAGAAAGCTTGAAGCAGCATTTGCAGGTGATCGTAATTCGTGGCATATGTTCGTATTATGTTATTAGGTATTATTAAGTTAGAACATTAGTTGTATTGCACCAAGCTGCTAAAACAACAAACCTACAAAAGTAACTATTAAATATTATATTAGTAACAATCACTTAAACCATGAATGTCCAACTATTAATTAAATATGTTTCTAAAATCGGTAAAATTTGAAGTTATCAACAAAAAAGCAGGTATATAATCGAACGTTCCCCGTCACTATTCTTTCAATTGAGAATAATTGTTGTACCTAAACCATTTTACATAGAAACAACGGATTCCCGATACGTATGAATTGCTGACACACTGAATATATAAATATTCGAATTCTCCGTGATCGCCTTCGTTAACTTCTTGTCTACAACGTTGTATTTACATATTGAATAGTTAACCGTATTCGTGAGAACCGCATTTGACGAACTAAATACGTGAGCATCAAACAAAAAAGAGGATGACGTTCGTAGGACAATTGTGCACTTGGATTTTCAGCAAAGCGAACCGCGAAAATCGAAAAAAATTAACAACCATTTAACCGGGTGGTGTGTCCAATCTCGACGGAACAACAACCGTACATAACGTTCGTAGAAAAGCCAAACGTACTAAACAGACGAACCGGCATGGGCGCAACTAGAGCCCAAATATTGGGGGTGCTGAAATTGCTGAAAATTAAATTAAATGTTATTTAACTGTAATTACTATAGATTATATAGATCTGAAAAAACAAAACAGGAGTGCTACACTTGAAGTGCTAAAACTCTATTGCACCCACAAGCGTCTATGCGAACCGGTCCGCGCGTACACCTTTTTACCGTCGCACGCGATCTTGTTGTACCGACATCGCCGCGCACGATATTTATGCCGAGGCCCGGGTGACATTTACTGCTGTTTCCTTCGAACGCAGGACCGTGCGTAATGCGAGAGGGGGGTTTAGTCAGCTGTTCAAACATTTGTTGATATTTATTAATTTTTGATCACGGATGTTCCCAGACGCGTAATCAAGGGGGCTTTTAGGGATTAAATTTCCCTCCCCTCCCCCCGAAACGCGGCAAAATTATTAAATATGTTCTTACAGAGTAAATGCGGTGTTAAGATTATAAAAGTATGAAAATGTACAAAAAGTTATACGGATTATAAAAATAAACAGCCGACGTCGAGATTCGACGTCTACATAGATGTAATATAGGTAGGTAATGTAATTTTACACCCGATGTTTTCTAGTTTCTTATACTCGTACTGTGTTCTATTGAAACGAAACGTACATTGTACATCAATACCATACAATAATCGTACAGGTATTTGGGTTTAGATACAAACGGCGCGGACGCGTTTACAAACGTTGTAAATCACACAACGATCGGGCCATAAAACAGTCGATGGCATCTGGACGATTTCCATTCCCCAGACCGGCCGCTTTACGCCCCTGGACGTACACGCAAACGTATTGTTAGGTACGTATTACCGGGTGGTCGGGCGCACACCGCGTTGTCCCGCGCACATTCCGAAACCCGTTGGCTGATCGGTCGCGTACGGCCGGTGGGCACATCGGAACGCGTCCGCGCCGGAGCACGTACACATCGTACGCTCGTGTCGTGCGTGCTACGAATTGCGAATGCGAATCGGTCGGCTCGCGTTACGTGACGATCACCAACGTTCACGGCTCGGTATCGTACACAATCCAAGTGCGCGTCTACACCGAGCACGCGAGACGCACACCGTGAGCGCACATGCTCGGTCTGCGCGTGTTCCAGTGCGAACGCGGCTTAACGTCAACCGTTACGTGTTCGACCCCCGTCTTGTTGAACACGTAAACGGCGGTAACGCGTACATTCGAAAGCGGTGCCCGACGTTCGAACACGTTGCGATCGAAAATCGGATCTAACGCTGACGATGTGTTGGTGGCCAGATAAAACGATTGTCGCGCAATCGCGATCGATCACAAAATATGCAGCACTTATCCTGTCATGAAATGTACGGAAAGAATAAATAACTAGGCAATACTTCGGGGATAAAAGTAGATAATCGTCAGTACTTATAAAGAGAACTGATGTTTAGCGAAAATCGAATAATTGTTATTAGTCGCGCAGTACACTTGCAATATTACGTTTCATAAAAAAAAAAAAAAATTAAAATCGCTTGTTGGTTGAAATTTGATGGTTTTCAGTTATTCCTTCGTATCGGATAACATTGTGAAGGAATTAAAAAATAATCTCGTTGCTGCACCTATTATCTGCGTTTATTTTTCGATCAGCTGAAATACAAAACGTACTAATGACATAAAATATTTACATCATCAATAAATTCCTAGCTTTTTACCAATGAATTGAAATTTAATTTTTTACATTTTTTTGTGCCTTTTTTGTGGTTAGAAAAATCTGCATGGTTTAATTTTTTATTTCATGATTATTTTTCTATTATTCAGACGTACAATATTGAATGATAAGATATGTTAATTATTATAATTTGACTTTGTATATATCAGACAATGAATTTTTTATTTGAAACCGGTTTGACTATACAAATATAATAAAACTTCAGGATATGCATTTATTATTATTATTTATTATTATTATTATTAATTATTATATATATAATAATTAAGCTGTTGATCAACGAGATTGAAAAATTAATTTTTAAATATCTTTTACAATGACGTTTTATTAAACTGATCGAAAAATCATAGGAACATTCCATGATAATTCAATAAATAGACAAAATTAATCAATCAGTGTATATAGTATTTTTTAATATTAATATTATAATAATAAACATAGTATAGTAATGTGTACATGATTTGATTTATAGCAGTTAATATGATTATAATAAAAATAAAAATGTTATAAAACATTACAGTTCATATTACACATAAATAATAAGTAATAATAAAGTAATGTTTTGGTTTTGCAATAATTGACTTTTATAGGATGACTTTCATAAAAATAATGTTATAGCAGTCCTTACAATGTTTATCAAACATAACAATAACAAACATGGGCTTAAACTTCAAACATAAATATCATTAACAAACATTGAGTTTAACAATTTAATATACCTACAACAGTAGTTTTTATTGTTGTACAGTATAACTGACTTCTGTGATTACATTAGTTTCATAATTATAATACGAGTGAAGTGCAGGTATATAGGAATACACGGTGAATCAGTCTATAATATGTATGTAATACATTAACATAAGAAACATGAGAACGAAAGTGTAAAAAAAGTGTAGAAATTAAATAATTGATATTAAATTGGTAACGGAAACGTAAAATTAAAAACACAATCATACTTTGTACTAAATTATTAAATGTCGGCTTCTTTGACATATTATGGACATACATGTTTGGCGAAAACTTTTGAAATTGCTGAAAATAAAACTAGTTTAAATGATTTAATAAGATAAGATTACTGTTTTGCCACAAACAATGTAAATATCATTATTATATTTAAGTAACGCTGCTTATTATGTCAATTATTGTACTTAATTCGGTTAAAATTCAAATATTATGATTTTATTAGTTGTATTCTTTGTTTGAATCAAACTTATAATAAACTTAAACTTACATACAAAGACTACAAAATACACCCCTAATAGTCTGAGCAAAAGATACGTGTGCCCACTCATCGGTTTCTTCTGTAATATCAAATGTGGAAGTAGGAAATGTACCTTTAGTCATAAACAATTCCAGGTCTGTTTTAGATAAATCATCACGGGATTGGTTCTGAAAAAAAACATTTTAAATTTATTAATAAAAATAACAATAAATAAAATTTTACTTACAAAATCAACAATTCAACATCTTAACTTATTAATGCTTATTAAAACTTGTTATGAATATTTTCTTTCAGGAAAGTAATTTATAAAAATATTTTAAAGTTTAAAATAAAATCTAACATGTTAAATAAATGTATTGTGTTAGGGTGGAGTGCATAAAATTATACTGAAAGTATCTCAGACACTTGTTGATTTTGCATCCATTTTTAAGTGACTTATCACCGATTGATCAAATGTATTGGTGTATAGTATTGTATAGCTCAGCTAATAGTGGCTGGTATCGCCGCGCAAATACTAGTGAGCTATGTGATGGTAATTTTTGTAAATTTGTTATGTGTATTTGTGTCTAGGTACTTAAAACTACTGAAAAATTATAACTAAATAAAGATAATCAATTTTATACAATAGTAATTATATCGTTGTACTGCGATAAATAAATAAAAATACAATAAATAAATGACAGTAACACAGTAAGAAAAATATAATATAAGTCCTTTGGCTTAGTATTAATATAAATAGTAACAAATGGCCCTTTGGTCAAACAATGATTAAAATAAGTAGACAGATACAAATAAATATATAAAAATAACTTGTTATTTTAGCAATATAAGCAATACGAGAATAATAATAAATTAACTGTAGAAATAAGTGCACACGTTTAATAATAACACAATAAAACTGCACACATAAAATAAAAAATATAAATAACAAAAACTCAATATTTTTAAAACAAAAATGATCGTTCACAACCAAGATTTTAGCACTACAAAAATTATAAAATATGTATTTTTTTCATTAATTTTTTAACTCAAAGAAAAGTTTAAGTAATTTAAGAATGAAATAAATAACTAAGTTATAGTAAGTTTATTAATGATAAAAAAAACATTTGAAAAATGTTCTTGTACATGTTATAAAAAACCAAACAATGTTTTTTCAAGATTTCTGTAATTATTGAAATTGATTGTAAGCAATTCAAAACTTTAAACACGAAAAATCGTTGAAAAAACTACTAAACCATAATGTGTAAAATTGTAAATAACTGGCAATAATTTTAATACATAATTATTCTTTATTTATTTACCTTAATTGTTTCATACGAGTCAATTATCACAGACAGGAACAAATTTATAACCACATAAATAAACAGACTTATGAAGCAGTATAGGTATAAACGACTGAACCACCACAGTAATGATGATTTTGTAGCCATTATTGTAAATGTTGCATACATATCATCACCATTGATTAAAGAAAATAAGCATTCAGATGTACTTGCCAATGATCGAAACTAAACATAAAAATAAGTAAATTATATTTAGTTATAATCGTATATAATAGTTTAAATTATCTACTAATACTACATGGAAAACAACATAATGTTTAAATTTAATAATAAAGTTTTGACATTTTGTTACAAACAAATTATCAAGATATATATATAAGATATTGGTAAGTAAGATATACAAGGTAAATTTTATTGCATTAAAATATAGATATTACAATTATAAAATAATAATAAAATCACTATCTCCACGAAGAGTTAAACAATTAGTTAAAATGTTATAAAATGTACTTAAAATATTAATAATTTAACATTTAATTTTGTTTTTACTATTGAAAAAAAAACAAGAAAAATTTCTTTATTTTAACTCAACAAAAATATTTTTAATACTACTCATGTCACATTTTAAGTTATATATTTAAATAATAAATCTAACTGAATTATTGAAAATTATTAAGTTTTCTTTGAAATCAAATCAAAGATGGATGGATGAAAATGTATTAAATATGGGTATAATTATAATTCAATCAATTATTATTATATAACTTATATCTTTAAAAAAATATTAAGTACAGCTGTTGACACATATAATGTATAATCAACAGTAAGTTATTGCTCTGACTTTTCTAAATTTATAACAAATAATAGATGTCAATACTTACTTTCATATGATATGGTCCCAATACTAACCAGCCACAAAATGTGAAGCCAGCATATAATAGAATCGCACATAAAATAAATCTTGAAGTATTTGGAAATGCTTGTCTTAAAGTTAATATTACACCCTGAGGATATTTAAATGTAATGAAATAAATTTTTTTTTACGAAATCAGTTAAAATTAACATGTAATCATTACAAACATTGTATGTTTTGAAGAATGTTAGATATCTTAGGACTCCAAACCACACAAGTAAATTACCAGTGCCTAGTAATACACTGCATAAATTCCACTGATCTCCAATGAATTGCTATAAATGTAATACTACAGTTATATAACTTGTATGTATACAATAAATTTATATAATAATTAATTATTATCATAGCAATATTACTCAGCAAGAATATATAATTATTTTTACCTTTCTTTCAATACGTTCTTTTATTCCTGAACCACATATTATAAGTATGTCATTAACTATAATCATAATATACCAAAAATTCCAAAATGCCCATCGTGCTTGATGGCTTAATGTTGACTTTAACATATCTTCAAAATATCTCATAGTCTCCTAAAATCAAAAACCAAACAACATAAATTTAAAAAAACCTAATAAATTATATTTAAAGCAAATAAATCAGCAACACTTACAAATTTTAATATCTGGGCTCTAATTATTGCCCTTGAACATAGTATCATTGAGACTGTGCATATTATAATAACAAAATAATTTAATAGACTTCTCAAAAATGATTCAACTTTATTATCAGCTAAAATTAAATATAAAATATTAATAGTAAACCTTATTTACCATAAAGTTTAATATTTATTTACATGTACTTGTCTTACTTATGTATTCTACATCTCCTTTACAATTTAATCTAAAAGGATTCACTTCCAGATCCACTAAAACTTGTCCATCCATATCTTCATTGTTTAATGTTATCTATAATTAAATTTGTTAAATGTACAAAAATATTATTTATTAATCCAAAACACTTTTTTTTCTCTTTATACAAACAATTTTGAAAGAAAACCAAAACATAAAGTTAATATTTCTATTTCAAAATGTGATGGTCTTTTATATAATTTCTGAACATAATATACTAAAGTAATTGATTAACTTCACATTTACCTGAATATCAAATTTGTAACAATCAGGTGGTGAATATTTTCCAGCAACCCTAAAGTTTACAGTCTTCAATGCAAATTTAAGTTTGGCTTTCAACAACGATGAAAACAGTATTGTTTTGTTTTGATTAATTAAATAATTTTTTATGGAAAATGTATTATTCCTTACATTATCTGTTATCGGGATGTTCAGACATTCTAGAAACAAATATTTAAAATAATTAAATAAAACTTAAAACATAAATAAACATATTTACAAATACCTTGTATTATCTCTCCATCAAAAGTATAGCTTTCATTAAACCCAAACACTGTACCATCTTTATAGTGTACTGTGCAAAATGATGGATCTGCCACTTTATTATTTTCATTTATGTAAGAGTAAGATCCAATGGCATTTTTGATATTAGCATACTACATGAAAACATTTTTTTTTTTTTTACTTTATTATATACATTGTTAATTAAATGCACAATACAAACATTTATACATTCAAATATACAGTATTATTTATTGCTATTGTATGAAGAACAAAGAGATCAATCAAATCTGTATTAATAAATAATTATATAAGCAAGTAATAATTGATATTCTAGGTCAGTGTTTCCCAACCTTTTAGTAATGTTGAGCCACAAATGTACTGCTTGTTGGTTACCCCCACCAATATTTAAAAAAATTTAATATAGTATTATTAATAGTCATAGTACTGAACTACCTGATGAAATTGATTAACTGGTACCACTAGCTATGATTTTACGAATAGTAAATTTAGCCATTAAAAAATCAAAACTTAATACATAAAATTTGAGTATTTAAAAATTAGTGTCTAATCGTAAAATAAAACTTTTTAGTTTATACATACTCTAGTAGTCTTGATGTACTAATTATTGCTCAGCTGTATGGAAAATCAACTGATACTACACCAATTGTCATTAGCAATACCATTAGTAATTAATATTGTATATATAAGATAAAAAAATACAAATTTTACTAAAAATATATTGATATTTATGTCCTATATTTTACATTGTAGAATCTACAATACTAGAAAAACTTTATATTATTGTCATACATAGAGGTATCAGATAAAACATAACATAAGCATTTATAAATTTACGACTAAAATTATTTTCATATATATTTTATTTATGAGTCACCAGTCGTAACTCACTGGTTGGGAAACACTGCTCTAGGTCTATACAATTTGATATAATAGTGAGGTAATCATTACACACCACCTATCATAATTTAAAAGTATAGGTTTTTATTAGATCAATATTGAATGAGATATAATAAATGATATATCAGTTATTATATTAACATTAATGTATATTGTTATTAATATATTATTATATTATAGTAATATATTAATAACAACAAATTCATCTGATTAGAAAAATTTTAGTTACGTTTTCAAACAGGTTGATTTTTTTTAAATAAAAACACTTTATGGAGATATTAATAGTCACTATAAATATTAGTAAAGGTACGGTTTCCCTTGCGCGATCGTGAACGCGAAACGCAATCCAAGATCGCGCGGCTGCTGATACAATGTAAAATAAATAGCGTTAGTTTCAAGGTACATTGGCTTTAAGAGCAGTCAAATCACGTTCACGCCACCGATTAATTTGTTATTTTGAAAAAAAAAAATTATTATATGACATTCATTTATGATTAACTACTGGTTCTCTAAATTTGATTTCATTATTTTTCAAATGACCGTTGATTAGTATTTCATAATAACCTTCCGTACTTCTCTTTGTAAATAACTGATCATGGCCTTTTCTTTTTTCTTCTAACAAATACAAGAGCAAAACTCATCATCATCTTCTTCAAAAAGAATTTTCAATATATTTACGTCGTCAGATGTATCCATTATAATTTAAAAATTCACATATATGAATGTTCGTTCACTAGAGTACTTCACACATCAAAATATTAAGTACGACTGAATGATGAGATATAAATTAAATTATTACTACCTACTCTATGTATTATTCTTGATCGTGATGTAAGATCGTTCAGAATAAACCAAGAAGACGCGAACGCTATCTTAGTTCATCGATCACGTTCGCTGACCGCGGTTGCCGACCGCATTCACGATCGCGCAAAGGAAACCGTACCTTAACAATGTCAATCATTTTATACATCGCTCAACCGGAAGAAAAATGACACAAGTCAAAAATTATTAATTTTTAGTTTTTTCTTTATACATAATCATTAAATAAAGTGTATATTTTACTGTGGAAAAACGATACTTCAATAAATAAAAAATTCACTAATAGTACTTTGATACTCAATTATTAAATAGAAAATGGAAATATTATTATTTTTATTGAATGTGATAGAAAATTATAAATTATATTAACTAAAATTTAGGAAATAAATGTCTATTAAAAAGAAAAGAAAAAAAATATTTAAAAAATTCTACAACCTAATAAGATTTTAATCATAAAATATAAATAAATAATAAAAAAATGTATTTGTTATTATTTAATTAGATTTATTATATAATTATTTAAAGTGGTTTTAAAAATATGATAATGTTTAATCAACTATTTAAAAAAAATAAATAATGTATAAGTCATTAAGATATTTTTTAATATTTTAGTTCTTCATCTTAAATAAGTCTAAACTTAATTAAGTCATCAAAAAAATTATATAAATATTAGTACAAAATCTGTAATTTTTAATATAAAAATTATATACTTACACCATGTAATGCATAGTCTATAGTTGAATAAAATGATTCTAAATTATAAATAGCTAATGGTCCTAAAGCTGGTGGATAAGAGACTACTTCTCGTGCAGGATCCCATCCTTTAATAAATAAATGTGAAAATGTCATTCTATTTCCCCAAGTATAATTTACATGGCTATAGCGAGTATGAGCAAATAAAGAAAGCTAAAAAATATGTATAATAATAATAGCAGCAGTAAATAAAATATTTGTTATAATTATTACTTGAAGTGTAACAAGCACAATTTTAATAATTTGAATTAAAAATTTGTATGGAAATCGCTTTCTTGTCTTCCACTTTTCAATTGGGTTCATAAAAAAAAACGATAACCGATTACGCATTTTTCTTTCCAAAAAAACATATTCATCTGAATAAGGATGGATATACTCTTCTTCATTATTCAATAATAAGTCTTCCTCTATAAAATATAAAGACTTTAAATTATGATTTAAAAAATAAATGGTTCATATTAACCAGAATATGAAGGTGAAAAAATAATTAAATGACAAAGTCTACACAGATAATGCTTTTAAATACAGATAAAAACTTATTCTTATATAAAATAATATTTATTACTCATAATTATGAAACAAAGTGTGAATTTTAATATAAATACATAGTTATTAAATTTTTACTGATAAAAGGTGTATATGATTTATAATACCTTAAAAAAAATATTATTTAGATAATTTTTTATTTAACGATACATTAATTATTATTTTTAAGATATTTGAGGACACCTAAAGAAGTAACATAAGATCAAAACCCAATGAATCACTATCATAACTTAATAGGTAGTATTGAAATAGTTGCAATACTATTACATACATATACTAAACTTTTCTAAGTCTCCAATTGTCAGTGGTTTCAACTGCTTTCAAGAAACAAACAATGAAGATAAATTTTTATTAAAAAATAATTGTATAGTTGAAAAATTCTATTAAAATTAATTATATTGAATATAGAGCAAAATTTATAATTTTGTATATGGCTAATTTAAGATTGTTTGTTAAATATTTTATTTCTATAATATTGTATTCTGATGATAGGATACATTTTTGTTTTTAATTATCATTTAATATCATCTGTATTTAAAAATATACTTATTGGGTTTACTTGCAACTTATTTTTTTCTTTTTTCTAGATTGTTTTTTTATTGTTGCAATAAATATTTAGATAATCTGCTTTTTTATCCACACTTTAATAATAAATTATACAAATTACTAACCATAAATTATTTTATATAGTCATTTATTAGTAAAATGTTTAATAAAATTATTTAAGTAATCACATTGAAAATTATTTTTCAAAAACATTGCTAGAAATCATCCATTATCTAATTATTGTACAAATAATCTAATAATATTTAGATGAAAAATTAATTTAATGTGATAGATTGTTTAAATGTAACTTAAACCAGTTTTCTTTAGTTCAATCTTAGTGGCCTACAGTATAAACGAGGAGCACAATTTTCCATAGGCTTTACTACTACAGATAACTCTATATATTTCAATAGACATGTATTTGTATATTACCGGATGATGCCTAGTAAATGTTCAAAATAAAATTACAGTTATTACACAAATGGCTTATGTGGTGATGTCAACAATCTCAATACATACCAGTATGGTCTTTGTGATCGGTAAGAGCTTGTGATCCGTTCATCGCGGCGACCTCGTTTGATTCAGTTGGAACAAGCACCAGAAACAACAACTGGGTTTCAGGGATGAAATGTAAGAAACATGTTACATCGTCAGCAATGATAATATGTCTATAACGTTTCGCACGACTTGATGGTGCGTACAAAAATCACCTGACAGCATTCACAGCACGATATTGAAAAACGCACGTGTATCGACGATAAGATCAGTGAATATCGTAATTGTTATTATTGTCAATCCGCTGTAAAGATTACTGAGCAGACGCAATCCATCGTTGCTGCTTTGAAGAAACGGGTACGTGCATCGAGAATATGGGTATCGAAGCGGACGATCACTCGTTGGTCAGGTACGCACAACTAAGAAGAATAACAAGAACAATAAAAATATACAAAGTCAACTGTAATGTAATTAATACTCGATCAGGAGCGTACGGACGGAGTCAACGTGCGTCGCGTTATCAGAAGGGGAAAAATAATAATGTAATTTATGGTTTCCCGTTGTTATCAACTGTAACATTTAGAAGCCTCTGCGCGCGTAGTATCAGTCCCTATTGCGATGATTATATATAATAATCAAATCCGTTGTATTTGTCTCCTCGTTACATTTGAGCGTCGGCCGGACGAGTGTTTAAATTGATCGATGAATGCTACTGGTGAAGACGGAACAATGCCGGCGAGATGACGTTTCCGGGGGGTTATAGTATACGACAAGAATTTATATTTATGTATATTCATTGACAAGAATAACGGGCCAATGGATGGATATGATTTTCGATTTGGAGTATTCGAAATTGGAGAAGTATTTCGATTTTTAGCTCTGCGTCGCTAATTTTTTCCGTCCCATCGAGTTCATTATTTAGTAATAAACTTTATTTTTCGATACAAAGGAAAAACTAAAAAACATATGGACATTTTATTACGTTTTGTACGTGGTTATCTTCAGACTTGGGTAGTATTCCGAATACATTATTCGGAATACTTTTTAAGTATTTCAAATACTTTTTTTGAAAGTATTCAATAAAGTATTTTGAATATAAAAATACAATAAAATAACATATATTTAGCCTAAAATTTCAAATATTTCTGTTGAGTGGACATCTATTATTTTTATAATATGAAAACTAGAAGTATTTTAAAAATATTCAGAATACTATTTGTAGAAAGTATTTTAATACATATTCGGAATACTATTTTTTGAAAGTATTCGAGTATTTATTCTAAATACTTTTAAAAAGTGTTTTACTTACGTCTGGTTATTTTCGAATGGGATAACTCTGGATGCGAACACTATTTTTTTTTGAAATTAATGATTAGAAAATTCTTTCCTAGAAATTAATTTCAATATAGCTAATGGTTGTACGAATATATGTAATAAAAACTTTTACTTTACTGAACATGTTCGATATTTTTGAGCTTTTATATACAATTGCATTTTGTCCGGAATCAACCTCATTATAGGGAATTCTAGACGTCCGCATAAATTCACAGAAAAATGATGTTTTAATTTTAATATTGAGCCCTAACTATATTAACCGTTTATAGAAAATTATTTATTTATTTTAAATCGAAAAAAAAAATTTCAATTAAAAATGTTATAAATTTTAGTTAATACAATCAGGGGAAGGGGGCTAGAGGTGCCTACGCTCCAGCGCAATTCCTGGAAGGGCGCAAAAATGAAAAATTTGCAATTTAATTGTTATAAGTTATAACTTATTACTTATAAGTAAAAGAATCATTATGTATTTATGTATTTATTTATATAACTTATAAATATAATTAGGTATGTTATATCAATGCACCAACTTTAATTATAATGTATATTTATATTTTAATAAGTTATTTATTTAAATAAAATTAATAGACGCTTCTAAATAATTATTAAGAAAAATCATTATTTCTATTGCATTTAAAAAATATTCAGTTTTTTTGTGAGTTTTTTTTTATAAATTAAAATACTTTAGGATGCATTTTGAAGTTTCTCCCCAGGCGCAATATTTGATTGTTACGGCCCTGAATACAAGAGCAATAAAATTAATTGGTTTATTAATATTAAAGCCTGATAGTAATATTTAACAAATTATAATTGATAACACATAAGAATAAAATTATTAAGTAGTGTTATTTATTAATAGGTACCAAACTCTGGCAATAACATTTCAAATCTATAAAATGTTTATACAGTAATAAAATATTAATGAAAATATAATTTATTATGTAATATCAGCTCATTTAAGTATTTACTATTCATTTTTTTAAATATAATTACTAGTATAAGCCTGAAATGTTGAGAAAGGATAACAAGAATTATAACTATTGTATGCCACGAGTGCCGTTCTGTTCATTTTTAGTATTTACTGCCCTAAATTCTAATTCATAAGACATGGATGTATATATTCTATAAAATATAAATTTCTGTAGGAATTTAGTATAAATATCTAATTAATATTTTACCATATCTTAAATGTCCGTTGAAAAGATTGTTAACTAAAATTATCTTGACTCAAATAACCTTTGTAAAATTAAATTACCAAGTAGGTAAAACTTTATCTAAATATTTAAAATAATTTGTAAATAATCTCCTTTCAAGTTTATAATTTTTCTTCGTGCATACAGTCAATTTAAATAAGTTATTTACATATTTAACATATTTCCTGAACATTTTTTTTTTAAATTAAAGAGTATAACAAAATTAAAATATTTATAAATATTTAACAAGAATTCAATCATATATTTAAATTTTCTATTTTTCAAAAATTCCCCTAATAAATATTAGATATGACAAAATGGACAGATTATGGGCGTACTCACAGGGAGGTCATAAAATTTAATTTCCCCTCCATTGGCCATTTTTTTTTTTTAATCAATTTGTATTATATTTTTAAGGTACTTATGTGAAAATACATTTGTTGGACTAAAAAAAAAAAAAAAGTATAAATAATTTATTGATTATGAAAAAAACAAATATAAAAATATTCCAGGTTAAGCATTTATTTAGTTATTTATTTTTGTATAATTTATTAACTACTTGTTTATATATTTATTTATTGATCAATGAGTATAAACCATTTACTAATTTTTATTATTTTATTTTTTACCTTCATTTAATATAAAAATATTATTTGTACATTTTACAGTTTTAAATATTTGAAAAACAAATCTTACATAAATTGATTAATTATGATATCCATTAATAAATTCTTGAGAACTGACGCATAAAGACATTTATAATATTTACACTTTTCCAATTCATTTTAACTTAAAATTATCCAAGAATTGGCCACAAAATAGTTTTTTTGTTTCTATATAGTAACTGTATAACAGCATAATATATTATATTTAGGTACATTTTTTTCTATTTCAAACTTTTTTCTTGTTGATACATTACCTAAAAATTATTGTTAAGAAATGAAGTAACAGAAAATAAATGGCCACAACGAAAAACCTTTATAATTTTGAATCGTTTTCATTACATTTTATCATAATATATTATGATTAATATTATATTATTAAATGTTATTTATTTTTCAATTTTTTTCAAATATTTAGTAGTTTCATATTGATGATGTTTTGTTTCATCAAGTTGTTTATTTTCCTAAAAAAACAAAATTTAATGTATAAAACAAACCTTAACAGAATTTTGGTAAAATTCATACTTTTAGTTGTAGATTGCAAACCACTGATTTTTAATCACAAATAATAATATATATATATTACTTATATATACTTATATATACATATAGGCTGACCGATTAATGTGACTGAGGAACAGAGAGTAATCAACAAAAGGAATAAGTCAGACTTGGATGTATAATAAATATATTTAATTTATTTGGAAAAAAATATTAAGTCTTACGATTTGATTAAAAAACAAATAAACAACTTCATAAGTACACTGTAACATAAGATATATTTAAGACATGTTTTTTCACATTACAAACATACATATAGTGTTCAGAAATTATAGAAACATTTTACATGGTTTTATATTTTATACACATCAGCTTATTGTTTTTAACTTTTTAGGTACCTTGTATGTATAATATTTTTGTCGTTTTCAAATCTTAGATATAAACAATAAAAAGACTATTTATTAAAAACAAAATAAATAAATATAAAATAATGTATATACATTTATAACTTATTAGCACAGTCATACAAATGTAATTTGATTATATATAGAAAATTATTGACAAAATTATAAGATATAAAAACAGAATTGATTAATCATCCGTGTTTATAAAACTTAAGCAACAAAGTAGGCTTACTAACATATTTGATTTAGTTTTATTAATGTTGTGCTTATCACTATTAATCATGTTATATCACTTTAAAAAAAAAAATATTTAAAAAATATATATTATCTGAGTGGCAGAAAACATAAAAAATTATAAAACACATATTATTTTAATTAATTTATGTTTAAAATATAACATACATTGAATAAATCAATTTACAGTAAAAAAATGTATAAAATGCATTATGAATTATTTGTGATAAAAGATTTGGATGAAAATAATATTTAAGTAAAATATTAATTAAGGAACTTTCTTATTAAAAACCATTTAATCGTGATTAGTGTTGGAATGCAACAAATTTAATTTTTAGATATAGGTATAATTTAAGTGCCGGAAAAAAAAGAGTTATTGTGTTAGAATATTAATAAGAATTATTACACCATTTTTTATTTAAACCAAATATTTATTTTTATGAGTAATTGAGACCAATGATTGATGATTCAACAACAATTTGAATGTTATTTAAAAAAAACCATTAATATTCATAAAAATATGAAAAATTATAACGTTCATTTAGAAATAATGACTACAATATTTTTCAATAAATTATTATTTAAACTATTTAAAACAACAATATATAATCTTTTTTCTATAAATATTTTAAACAAAAGAAAAATAAAATAAAATATAAATAAAAAGACATTAGTATAAAAGAATAAACACAATATAGAAATCAATTGTCTGAAATAATCAATTTTTCCAAATATTACATGTATAGTATTATAAATAAATAATACTTTTTTTTTATTTTCAATGCTAAATTTTAAATCTCAAATTTAAATAATCAATGACTTCCAATTTTAAAGCTTAAAAAACAACTTAAGTATTATTTAGTAGTTGATACTGAAATACTATCAGTCGAATACCTAATACCTTTAAGATTTAGGGTTAACTTATTATAAAGGGATACATCTGAATAAATATTATTATTTTATATTAATTAGTAATTAATACATCTGATAAATAATTTGATTATTTAAAATAAAAATAAAACATTTGAGTTTATAAAAAAGAAATTGATTATCAAGAAGAAGTCCTTTCAGTTGAATTGTAACCACATAAAATGCCATTTAAAATGATTATATCTATAGGAATATATTATGTACAGGAATTATAATTAGGTTATATAGTAAATAGTGCATAATGTATTATTATCAAACTAAATCAGTATATATCTTCAACAAGTTTTTTAAAAAAAAAAATTATAACTTTAGTTTTAATATTATTTTAAATGGATATATAAATACAAAGGACTTGAATCTAAACGAAAGAAAACAAAAACATATAAATTAGTATTTAATAAACATTAAATTTACTATGATTTATGATTTAATTTTCATAATGCTCTTCGTAATTTTCATACTTTATATAATATACTGTATCAAAAATATAGTTTTCTTAAAAAAATCAATGACAGCAAATAACTGTATTCTAAAGTTGTTCAACAAAGATATTTTCCATGTTTTAAAAAAATAAATCAAAACTATTAACTATTAACTTGTACAAAAATCTTAAAAAACTGAAGGACTAATTGATCATAAACAATTATTAATGGAATACATGTACTGAACTAGCAAGATGGAAATAAAGTATACAGTACTTTGTTTTTTTCTTTTTAGACATAGAAGAATTTAAATTAAAAATATTTGTTTGATAAAAATGACTATTATACTATTCATTATAATTTTTTTTCAAAAATACTAATTCAAATTTGTTATACAACAGATCAAGTGTATTAATAATTAAATAAAAAATTATAACAATATTTTATTTTAGGTGTAATTTATATATATATAAATATACTTTTTAGGGGATGAAGTTCAATAAACAGCAGTTTTTTTCATGTCATCACCACAATGTTCTTTAAGTCCTGGTATTAGTGATACTAGAGTTCGATCTAACCACGCAATTGGATTGGGATACATGAAACCACCTTCAAAAAATCCAAGGTGACCACCATGCATCAGTTCCATGTACAATACATTATCTTTCGATTCTAAAACACAAAAATTCTTAATTAATAATAATTTCTTAAAAGCAATTTATTTATAGAAATAAAAATAGTCATGCAAATAATTTTTTTTACTCTTTATAGAAAATTAATTTAAACAAAAGTATATTTAAGATTATAAAATATAATTAATAACCAAAAATATAGTCATAAGTTTAATATAATATATAACATTTACATTGATCATTGTGACACCAAAAATGATGGATAATCCAATATCAATAAACATGAAAATACTCAAAACTATTTTAATTAATTAATTAAAATTATGCAAATGATTTTCTGTATAAAATTTGCGTGATTCAATTTATACTAAATAAGATTTGGTTATAATAACACAATCGTCTAATTCAGAGTATAATAATAATTAATAAGTTTGAAAATATGTTTCATACTTAAACAATGCTTTTGGATGTTAAAAATATCAGTTATCTTAAACTTATTTTATACATTTGATTTATTACATAACATTAAATTAATGAAATGAATCACTTTAAAATATGTTATAATTAAACTAAAATTATAACTAATGTACAGAAACATTTTTCAGTAATAGTTACTAAAACTTAATTAATCAAATAAATATTCTTTATAAATTTAATGATCAACTTACTTGCAAAATTTTTAATAGGTATTAATAAATCTTCTGGTACTAATGGATCATCTCTTGAATTAATAAATATCATGGGTATTTTTACATTATTTATATAGTACAAACAACTTGACCATTGGTAAAATTCATGCAGATTCTTAAAATTGTTTACTTTACTGTAAAAAGAGAATTATAAAATATTTTAAAATAATTTAATCTAATATGAATTTATAATATATAAGTGGTTAAGCTTGGGTTCAAGATTAGAGCAGACAAAATTTCAAATAATTTAATTTAATGTTAATATATATTTATGTATAAGTAAACAATATTTTTATTAATATATTACAATAATTATTTAGAACTTACATAACTTTGTAAGTTATAAATATACACACACTTTTATTATTTATAAAGTAATGATTTATATAATTTAATTATAGGATTATGAAAATTTAAATCTAAAATGCAAGCATATTTACAGTATCCAATAAACATGTAACCAAAAACTTATAAATTTTAAAAAAAAATATTATAAAATAAATTTTAATATAAAAAAATATTTTTTTATTTCAAAAGATGGGAAATTTGAGTTGATATTTGAACAATCAAATTATATAAATTTTAACACCATTTATATAGATAAATTATAGTAAAACTATGATAATGTCAACACTAAAACTGATAGAACACTTATTTTTTGTACTTATTAATTTCTATAACACAAATATTAACTTTTAAACAATCACAAATTACAAATCATTTTTAAAAATATGGTTATTTATATTCATATATAACAATATTCTTTATAAATATTAAGAAAACATTACTTGTTTATTATTTTGTTAAATATGTAATGTAATTTAAGACTAGTATGATAAATATTCAATAAAAGTTTGAAGATATTTTATTCAATAAATATTCTATTAAAAAACTACATAGCAAATTAATATCATAAATGATTCAGGTATATTTATTAAAAATAATATCTAAAAATAAAAAAAAAATTAGTCATAGAAATTAGAAACAACTAATTGTAACTATGGAATATTTTCTCATTTGTAACAATTGTCAGAAATATATTTGATCTAATAATGAAATATTTATTTTTAATTGATTTTAAAAACAAGTCACAAAACATTTAATACCACAATATTACTTATTATAAACCAAACCATGTAATAGAAGAAATACATTTTCTATAGTAATTTATTTTTCAAAATTTTAATAATAAAACGATATAAATATAATCAATATTAAATCAATTATACAAGAAGGAATCGAATATCATACCTCACTAATAATATTTATATAATAATATTTAAGAATATTAAACAGTCAACTCGCGATATAACGAATTTCAAGAATTTCAAGAGCCGAGCAAAATTTTGTTACACCGAAATTCGTTATATTAAAATCATTAATCAATAAAATTTGTTTAAATGATATTAAAAAAAAAATTTATATTTCATTAGATTTTTATAATTACATACATACATATTAAATATTATTATATATTTTATTAAATATACATATAACATAAGTGATTATTGTTTAATTAAAATTTATTTTTTGTTTATTAGGGTCAACCCTTAGTTATAGGTAGGTAAAGAAAAATAAATTAAAATATTTTCACCCCCTCATTTTATTCATTAATATAAGAAAGAAATTTGAGTTAATTTGGTTATGAGTAATAACCCTCTTCACGTACCACAAGGAAATTTAAAAATTGCAAAATAGGGTTGGTTTGTTGTTAATAGTTTTTTTTAATTGTTTTTTAATATTATCAATAAACCATAGAACTTATCATAAAAATATACATAACTTAAATTATAGATACTTATATTTTTAATAAAAAATATAACTATATAATTTTACATTTTTATATGAAAAATTATACAATATCAAATATTTCATTTACTTAAAAAAATTAACTTTTTTACGGTTTTTTAAGTGTATCAGAATAACGGTTGATATGACAAAACATTCCACATAAGAATGATAATAAATTAAATTCTCTTAAAAAAGTTGTTGGGCAATAAAAATATCAACAAAAAAAACTCATAAAATTTGTAATATCAAGTTCCAAAATTGTAAAAATGTATTACATTGCAAAAGCCTTGTCCAAAAAAACTTAATTATGTAGAGGAGACAAAAATATATTTAGTTTTTTGTTACATCATGAGATTATCAAGGGAACAACAGTTTTATTCATTATGTCGAACTTCCATAAATGGGTAATATTTTAAATATTAAAGTATAATAAGATTTAAATATATTATTTCTTATTTCTAACCTAACCAATTTAAATAAATAATTTTACCGAGTGTAAGCATCATCAAGTTCAGGTAATGTAGCTGCAGAAATAATATCTTTTTCATTTAATGAATACTTTTCTTTTATATCATCTGTCAATAGTTTACTTCTATGTTTTAAAATTAAAGCTTTAATTGCTTCAGTTAAAGCATACAAGTAGAGTCTTCGAAAATTTTGCCAATTTAATAAGACACCAGTTGCTCTAAATAAAATACAGTAGTACAGTTAAATATTAAAAAAATTAATTTTCTATTTATAAATATTAGAAATCAAAGGTTTATAAGTAGTGAACATTTTTTAATAATATATACTCTATAAATTTAAAAATATATATTTTATACTTAAATCTAAACACTCATTTAAGATATGATAAGGACTAAAAATTACTTCAAAGCATCGTATGGTTGACAAATAGATATCCCGGCAATAACACTAATTGGTCGAGTTTCACGAAGTTCTCCTAAGTATTTAGTAACTAAGTTACCTCCCATGCTATATCCAATAATTATGATTTTTGTACTTGGATAATGTTCTGATAAATTGCAAAGCATTAAATGAAGATCATCAGTATGACCTGTAAATAAATTAAATACTTAGTTTATCCATTGAAATTATTTAAATAACCATTAATAAAGACTTTTCTAAGATGATATTAATAGATTAATATTAATTTTTTCTTAATTTTATAATAGCGTAGTTTATATTTTTATCAATAAATAAAGTGTTTAAAATATTTTGAAAATTATTTAGAAGATACCAGATTCAAGTATAACTAAATTTAACAAATAAATATATTTGTAACAGTACATTATAAATAAAATCATTTGAAAATATATTTACCATATGTGAATATTCTAGAAGCAGTAACAGGTACATTATGCAAAGCACCAACGTGATTAAGAACTGCACATCGATAGCCTTGATTTTGAGTATAATTTACAAATGTTCGAATATAATCACTCTCTGAAGAATTACAAATTCCAGGCACTACAACTACAGTTATGTCCTCTGAAAATAATTATAATCATGTAAATAATATTATTAATTGTATTTATAACCATACCAAGTTCTGGTTCATAGAAAGTTGGTTTGAACAGATCATATGTTAAGGTAGTTCCATCATCAATCATTAAAAATTTTCTATCTCCTTTGGGACATGGACATCTTACTCTACCAAAAACACTATATAAAATAGTTTGAACATGACCACTGAATCCCCATAATCTAGTTGGTACATATCTAAAATAAAATAAAATTATGTAATAATATATAAATGACAAAAGTGTACAATTTAAAAAAAAAGAAATGAACAAATTGATACTTGATTGCCTATTAAACATACATATAAATACATCAAAATATAAAAGCTAATTTTAATGGCAATCAAATATTTTTGAATACGATATAAATTGATTTTATTTTAAGTAAATATATTTTTTGTTATACAAATGAAACTAATAATACTTCTTAGTTTGATTAATGATATATATTATTATAATATATTTAATTAATATATATTATTCTTATAATATTATAATATTATAAACATAAAACATAGTTGTTTCTTTCTAAATTTTATTACTGAATTTAATTAATTCATACAATCCAACACATAAGAAATTCATATGTAATTTTGGTTTACCATGTGGTTATGTACATCAATTGATCAAGTGTTTTTTAAGCAAAAAGTAAGCAGGATATTAAAAATGTTTATAAAATTTAAGTATAAAATATAATAATCAATATTGTTTTGTTATTTAATAATGATTATAACACATTTAATTATTTAATAATATGTAGATTAAATCAAATTTAAATCTTATAACATTTAAAATAAAAATAAAAAAATATTACATTATACTAATTAAAAATTATATGTTATACCTATATATGGATGCATACATAAATACATAAAATTATGAAAATTATTGAACACATATATTTGTATATTCATATATTCATATATTTGTATATGTAAACGTTAAATTCAGATTTAGAATACTATTTCATACTTAGTAAAATAAGTAGCAATTAATCAATACCAATTCAATAATTGCAGTTAAATATAAACCAGAAGAACCTTATATAGTAAGTAAAATTAATCAATCCAATTAAACTTTACATTAAAAAATGTATTAATACACAGTATCTAAACAGAAGCAATAGAGGAAAAAAATTATTATTTAGCTGTTAAATAAACGAAAGGTCATAAGAGGTTATTATAACTGAAACTTTCTTTAAATAGCTCTTCTTCTTCAAGTACCATATTCATTAACAAATATTGGCAATCATGTATATAATTTGATCTTTATTAATGGCTGTTTTTAATAGAGATATCATAGATGTATTGAACCACTTTCTGAGATTGTCTAACCAAGAAATTTGAGGTCTTTCACGGTTTAAATAGCTCACAATAAACTATTTCAGATAATTGAAAATTTGTACATTGTAATTATAAAATTCTTTATGGAACAATTGAAATTATTTAGGATTTATTCTAGTTTATTTTACTAGTATTTTTTCAGATATTAAAACCAAGATTCAATATTTAAAAACTTATAAATGGTAGAAGCTTAAAAAAATTGTTTCAAATCATGGTTATTCCTTAGGCATCAGGTTAAGCTGAGCTATTCCAACCCTATATAAATGTATAATTCTCAATTTTTTTATGTAAAATATAGTATTATAATTGATATGTTAAATAGGTCATGTAAATATTCAATAAGACATATGTTTTTTAAATATTCATTGTAATCTATTCATAAAAAACATATTGCAACAATTAGCATACCTATTCATAATTTAAATATATGCAAAAATATGAGACAAAACCCCTCTTCACATAGGTACATCACAAACTAAGGAATAACATCAGTTCACTAGTTTTTTTGATTTTTTTCGCCAAACAACTACACTATAAACAAATTAATTTTTTTCCTAAAAATGTTGAATTGGATACAACTGATACAAGTGACTAAATATTTTTGTATAAGCTATACATATTATATAATTTATTTTTATGTATCTATAGGGTATAAACCTTCTACTAATAATAGGTAAAGAGCAAACAATTATAGAGCCCTAAACTTCATAACCTAGTTTATTACCTACTTAAATTAAATGTAAAAATATATATAATTTAGTGCATTTTATGTATAGAACAATAAACAGAAGACTACATGTTAAGTGATGTCAAGTAAGTTAAATTTTAATTTTATTGTAATTAAATTGTTTAAAACGAGAATTTTATATAACAAATATTTTATATTCTTGTCGTATGTGGTCTACCACGCATCTATATATATATATATATATATGTATTTTTTAGGTCATTCTTATTGATTCGAAGGCGATTAAGTATTATCTGAACAATTTAACTTAAAGTCTAGTAATAATCATGACTGTAATCGTAAACATATGAGAAAATTAGTTACAGTTTAGTTTGTGCTGTTATACGTGATACATTATTCTACAGTTAAAACACTTTAAGCATTATATTAGCAAAACATTTTTATTCAATTGCTCAATTAAAGGAAAATACCATAGCTTTTTTAAAGGAAAGAGGACTAATTAAAATTAACACTCCTCCTTATGTTTACTGTGGCTTGTAAACTAATTTCTATACTCACAAAAAATAAGAAAAGAACAAACCAAAACTTTTAATTTTTAATACTTAACTATTGACATATTATATTGTAATATACTAATTTACCTACATATTATAATACATTAATGCATATTTTTATATAAACATGCGTGATAGACCGCATATGATAAGTAGAAATGGGCGGTAGGCCACATACGACAAGAATACTAAATATTTGGTATATAATGAATCTAAATGACCATAGGTAGTGTTTCAGAAACATAATATAAAATACCTTTCTATTTAAAATCAAATAATTACTAATGGATTTTTTTAAATACCTATCCTTAGAAATAAAATATATTTCAAGGAATAAGCTACCCTGTATTATGAAAGCACAATAAATGTCCATGTTTTAAATTAACATTATTTGTTAAATTTAACAAGGGCAATAAAATGTTAAAAAAAAATCTTATAAAAAGCAGCTGAATGTTTTACTTATAGTTGTTTAATTTATTATGGTAATTAATAAAAATAATATATTAATAAGGTACAGAGCTTAGCTCAAAGTTTAGAGGAAATGTAAAAATTTGTAGATATTATAACACAAGTTTTGGTTTATTCTTAAAAGTCATAAGACACTTTTTTGAAGAATTTTTTATTTATTAAAAAAAGTGTTCTTATACATTTTTTGAAAAGTCAATATTATTTTATAAATATTAAAAAAACTATATGCAAATAACATTTTGTGAAAAATTACCATTTTTATGTTTTTTGCAATTATCTCTCTAAATATTAATTATAAAAAAAAAATCGCAGAGTACTAAAATTGATCCAATTTATTTTTACTAAAATATGTGTAACTATAAATTTTTGAGTTAAGCTGACTTATTTTGATTAAATTGAGAAAACATAAAAATAACTAATTTTTCTGAAAAACAAATTTAATAATATTAAGAAAATTATACTTATGGTTTTATTACCGGGAAAAGTTTATTTATTTAAGTTAATAAATATTTTAGGGATAGTTTTATTTTGATTTTATTGTGATAATTGAAATAAAAATAATATAAGTACTTAGAACTAGATGCTAATAAGTTTATTTTTAGATTATCGGTAATGTAATCACACAAGATATCATGTAGTGCTATGTATAATAGTTTTGTTATAATGTCATAACATAAGCAACATTCAGTACGTCAATATTTGATTTTTACCTGATTATAAGTATTATAATTGTTTTAAATAATTATTAGTTATACTTAAGTATATATAATATCATTATCTCGACAAGAAATTTATCTCGTTGGGCATCATAAGCAACAAATAACAGGCAGTAAACTCTCATAAAATGGAGATTGTTTACTGTTTTTTTTTTTTTTTTATAATATTTGAATTATTTGTTTTAACTTTGACACTAGTCCAAATGTAGTCATTGAAGAATGTAATATTTTTTTGGAAAAAAGATCAGATTTCAACACAAGAGCCCCATAAATATAAGCTTGAACTAAAAAAATTGAACGAATTATGCCAAAATTTATCTAAGAGTATTAATAAAACAAGTAAAGTCTTAATTAATAAGCGTTAAAAGTTTTCAAGCTCTATGAATGATTTATTTGATATTACATCAAAATTCATTAATAGTAATGACCGTTGAAGATAAATAGTTTTTAATCAAATAGCATGAAAAAGGATGTACGGGTGATATATACACATAATAAGTATTGATAAAAATATAGCCAATTTAGAAAAAAGGCGACTACAACGTAATTTATTGTAAAATGTTATGTAATATATTGGATTTATACTGTTAAGGTCCCATCTGCCCTATTAAATGACATAGAGTTTGTAAGAGTGACGATAAGCGAGAGTCAACATATTATAATATAAACATTAAATTATAATTTAAATATAACATAACATTTTTTATAAGTAATAGTAATCTAAATAAACATTGTGTATAATACATTAATAATAATTTTAATAATGTAATTACTGTACTCCAAAAATGTGTAATAATTTAATATTACCTTATATTTCATATTGCTTTAATTTTAAATATGCTTATAAATTATTTTTCAATATTAATACCATTAACTATTTATTATATATATTATATTATTTACATTTTTATTGTTTAAGAATTGTTTGCAGTTGCTAACTGAAAATAGCAATGTTATTGAATGTAATAAATGTTTAGATAATATAAAGAATATGGTTGAAATATTTACCAATAGGCAAATAGTGTCTTGATAGAAAATATTTAAAATTGATAGAAAGGTCTGCTGTATCCAGTCCTATTCATTTAGTATGCTCAAGGCTGTATCAATTGATCATGATATTGTTATGATTTGTGTTGGTCAATAACATATTGGACCGTCTTATGATTATTTAACCCCTGACTAATGATTTTGGCTGTTGACCTCCTAACACTTGTGAGACAGTATCGGATTTGAGATAGAAATATTGTAGCCCACCAAAATTAAGATACTTACGGCTCTTCGAGTTGGGGTGCAAACTTCAGGACTCTGTTGAGGAACTGTTTGTCTTTGCAAAAGAACAATGGTTTCTGTGGTTGGCTGGAGACGTTGAGCATGCGAAACACGAGGATGAAGAATATCGCCACGGCAGCCAATACAGCTACAGACATGTTCTGTGAACCGTGTTCTTACACACTCGAGACTAGGATCAGTAGTAGCAGCAGCAGCAGTGGCAGTAACGGCAGGGGAGGTGATATGATGACTACTGCAGTGGCGGCCACCACAAAACGACATGGGACGCCTGGATGTCACGCGTGCGTCACGGCTACAAAATTATCGAGTCGCGGACAGTCGTCCGTAGCAGAGCAAATCGATTGACCGGTTAGGAGAGGATTGCTGAGGAAAAACAGTGAGCCGTGGACGGAGGGTCGGATGACGAAGAGCGCGAGACGGTTCGCCGGCGACGGACAAGCCGATATCGTGCCGAGAGCGGACGGACGGACGGACGGACGGTGTGAATATTTAAAAAGTCGCGTACCCTCGGTCGCCTCGTTGACGGAAGGACAAACGCGGACGGCGGAAAGCTCCCGCGTCGTCTACAAACCACACCGCGGCCGTGCGGTTCCCGTCGACGTAGGCTCCTCCGTTCGCTGTGCGTCGTGTCATGTAGCGCTCAACACGCTTAACCACTGCGGAGGCGGTGAACGACCAGTGGCGATAGTACGTAACGACGAGAATACGCGACGCGGTCGAAGACGGCGGTCGCGCGGACGTATGTGCGTGATCTAAGGACGTTATCAATTATGCATGTGTGCGTGCGTGCGCGCCGCGTGTGAGTGCGTGTGTGTGAGTACGTGCGTGAGTAATATTCTCAAGTCAATAATAGTGTGCGAGATAGCCGCCCGACATGGCAGTGAGGCGGTGGGCGGCGGCGATTTCGGGCGACTACCGGTTACGGTTGTACTACTACTACCCGCCATCTGGTACACGATCCGTTCGCGGCAGAGGGTACCGCCCGCGCCCGTTCAAATTCTATGAGCCGCGTGGTGGTCCCTTGTCGATCGGATGGTGCGTAGGGCTCGGTTTTGAAGCATTTCACCTCCCCACCGTTGAAATACGCGAGACATTAATATAAATGATCACAAAGGTCTCGTGGATCACTTACCGTTCTCTTAACTCGCACCTGGTACCTGTGTATCGGCTGGGGTGTGGACGAGCTACAGTGATCTGTCCTCAACTGTCGTCTCTTAACATGTAAGCATTGAAGTCCACGGTGACGGATCGTTCACAAAACTGAAACAAGATTGAGAAGATTCGTTTTTCAAAATAATTTGTTTTTATCAAATTAATGTTTATATCGGTAGAAGACTTATTATTATCTATTTATATGTTATTACTTATACGAAACAAAAAATGAGATCGGTCTAGTACTAAATAAATTTAAAAATAAATAAGTAAATATTATTCGTTACCAGGGTTCAAAATGGACATGAGAGTATTAATTTATTAAGTATTTACGATGTATGACTTCACTAGAGTTACCTATAAAAAAAAATAAGAAATGTGTCTTTTGTACATATATTCTATTCCATGTTTTTACATTGCAGGCCGCGAAAAGGTATAAAGGTTTGGTTATCATTAATTAAAATTAGTGTAGTAAATAAAAATCTCTATTTTCCGTACTATTGGCTATTCCCGTTGCTAATAGTTGTATTGAATTATTGATTTCTTTTAATAACTTCGAGGTTAACCAGGATTATTCTAAAAAAAGTACCGGTTCCCAACAACTTACCGCAATGAAGTCATATTCAAGTAAATCGACAGCGTACTTATTTTATGATACCAGATTATATACGATATGTAAAACATATCTGTTAAAGTTATTTCAGACGGGTAAACTTTGAGTTATTTTTATTTTTAAAACGATTTTTCTTCTCGCGAATTGTTTCTGACGCATAAGTATTATCATAAATTTGTAATAAGCAGGTCCATATTTAAAAATTTGGTGCCCCCTGGCATATCATTTATGCCCCCCTCCAAAATAAATAATAATAATATAACACTTATTTTTTCGTCCATAATCGAGATTCTTTAACATTAAAATATAACTTATACATGAAAATCGTTTAATACTTTTTTTAATTAAAAAATTAAACAAATTATAATATAATAAAACATACAATTTTCTTTTTTTTAATTAACAAATTATAATATAATAAAAATACAATTTTTTTTTAATTTACAAATTATAACATAATAAAACAACTATTTTCTTTTTTATTGTTTTATATTTTTTTTCATTTGGTATATTATTTTTAAAATTAATTTTGCTAAAATATTTTGCCACCTCTGACACTTGACACCCCCAGGCATGTGTCTACCCGTGCCCCCCTAAATACGGGTCTGATAATAAGGGTTTCATTATGTCTAAATCTGATAAAAATCGGTCGATAAAACCAAAAATCATCCTAATAGTGACGTGCAAACCAACGTCATCGGTTTTAATCTGTAACCCTGTATCGGCAATAATATATTCTACACGTGATATTATTAAACGTCCATGCATCATTTGGTTGAAAATATTCAAATGTAATCGAACGCGCGATATCCTAACGGCATCGGGTGTACAAAATAGTGAAAATGTCCGGCACATGCGCAGCAAAACCGTATCAATATTCAATGTATTCATAACTATGTATACTATGTAACTATGTATTCATAACATACTAACCCAAGTTGTTTGGTCACACGCAATGTCATATGTACCATAAGGGCACGTGAGGTACGAGCTCAGGGCCCCCGACGGACGAAGGCTTCGAAAAATATAATTTACATTTTTACGTTGTAACATATTGGTGCAACCTATCTCAACTAAATATTTTACTGTTAGATTTTAATAATGAATTATAATTTTAAAAATAATATAAAATAATACCCAACTCAAAATTTAAATGCTGTAAATACGACGATTACTTCTTTAGCGATATATTTGATTAACAACGAGTTATTGACGCACAGTAACGACGAATACGAAGTTATTTGTTATTGCGTTTCCGTGATAAAATAATATAGTTGATGCGTTTTTGAACAAAAAAGAAGTTCTAAGAATATCGTTTTCAATTCCAAATGTTCGTTATAATTTGGAAACTAGTAGGTTATGTGAAATAATAATCGTACCCTTGCTTTTAAAAGGATCCCTGAACTATCCAAGGTTAGTGTATCCAAGGGTCCCTGCACTGTCAAAGACGGCTCTGGCCACACGTTGTTCGCGTCCCGTGTGTCCCGCGGGAACGACCGCGAAAAAAACGCGGCGTAACGGTGGCGGCGGTTAGATAGCGTTGAGATAGCTCTTCAGCGGCGGCGATGAACAACTCGACGCCTTTTTTTTCCAAACTTTTCTCGCGATCCCCTCCCGCACGCACCGCCATCGTGTTCCGTTCTCTCGACATTTTATTGTGTTTCGCGTACGTGCGCGTCTTATCGATTTCACTCCGGATGCACGCACGCACCCGCCCTCGCCCACGCACGCTTATATTATTTATACCGTTCGCGCGTACGCGCGTACGTAATGTCTGCGGATCGCGTGGAACGTACGATTTTTTCGTCAACGCGCGCGCGACATGTCCGGCCGAGAATCTCCGACCGCTCGATAACTCTGTCCCCATCCCTGTCCCTTTTCGTCACCACTAACACCACCACGCACCGTGCTCACGGTGCCATACCGTTTTTTTTTTTTTTTTTTTGGGGGGGGGGGAAGATTTTTATTGTTCAAAGAACGCACATTATATCCGGTTCGTATGGGTACTAATGTACGGTTTGATATCCCTATGTTTTTGAGCTGTGACTGGTACTGAACTCTAGAGGATTGGATTTTAACGGTGTTCATTTTTTTATTTTGATGAACTACTTGCATTTTTTCATCACAGTCCGGCCGTGTAAAAGAACGCCTGGTTTGATGGTGTAGTCAGGATTTTTAAATGGGAGGGGGGTCTTAACACTTTGTTGGGCAGGTTAAGTAAGATCGAACTTGAGATTTTACCTTTTGCCCACTTCTACCACCTTCTACCACCACCACCATCAAGTTTATAAGTGTATTTCCAGCATTTTAAAACAGTTTTTATAATATTTATTAAAATGTATATTATAATAATAATAAAATAACGGTGGTCAGCTGCGTCGCGACTTAATGTGATGTAAAAACTATAGTGATTATAAAATTATAGTGTTAGACGAGAGTATAGAGTAAAAACTCTATGGACGGATCGCTACAAATTTTATAATAACCACCATAAATATAGTGATAATCACGGTAGAAGTATCATAATACGCTTATGTACCAAAGATAAACTTCCGTTATTCGTCAACATTTAGTTAGTACCAAAGTTTTAAAATACTTAAATACTAAATATTAGTATACTAGTATAATACATACATATACACACAATCCACTAGCAGTCCATTGTCTATATTTCGATCACTTAAACTGTTGGTGACTGACTTAGCTACTGGCTACAGCATTTTAATGATAATATATTAGTATCTAGATTTCCTACATGCCGGTGGAGTCCTAATTAATATAATCAACCGTCTCATCATATCTAGTCAAGTAATTAATATTTTCAATGCAAATTAATTATTTACCAAAATTAAATTAGTGTTAAATGCAAATGAGTCGAGCTAGCAATAAAGAAATTTACTATGGGAAAATGAAAATTTTATACCAAAAATTTAATTATGTATTGCATGAAATATTAAAAATGATGTGCTCATCGTTTAACAGAAACGGATCTTAGGTAAAAGTCACACGCATTTCGGCTTCACTTCGCGTATCACTTAAGCAAGTTGTTCAAGTCACGTAATCACAGTTGAAGTGAATCACACATTACCATTGTAGCATTATTAGGAGTTAAAGTGACAGTCAAAGGAGGACATGTTCACTTCGACATTTTTTCTTTTACCTCATAAAAAGTTTGATTACGATAAATACAATCTGTGTTTAATTACCAAATGTAAGAGATAAAATAACTAAATGTATGACATTTTTGTATTTTTATCCTAAAAAATAAAATTACCCTCAAAAACTAAGAACAATAAAAGCATTTCGCATTATTCGGAATCTGAAATGACCAATGAAATATTTGATTTGTATTTTACTTAATAAGTTATTATTACTGTTATTTATTATACTGTAACAGTACTATATTATTATTTATTCATGAGATACCCGTAGTGTGGAATAAATGTTTAAATACAATATTGTGTTCATTTTTATCCCACTTGCTATTCTTATAACGAATTTATTATATGGTAGTATGTACTGCTGTCCAATGTTAGGACTTTTTTTTGATAATTTCGAAGAATATTTTTGTCAAATCTCATAAAACTTTAAAAGTAAAGAACATGTTATGATGAAATTAAAAATAAATTTGGGGAAAAAAATAATTTACAATAATACATACATACTCGTATATATACATATACATAATCTATTAGATTAAACCAAAAAATAATAAGTACACACTCACAAAATTCATATATAGATATATGCAAATTCGTAATAAAAATATTTTACATATAATTTTACAAATGTATATTCAGATTATACTTACATGTATAAATAATACGATATATTAGGCACGTAATAGTCACTGCAGGAGTAAATGACAATAATGCTTTATATATATACATATATGTACGTGTAAGATACACTTACGTAATAACTAATAATATTGCATAACTGCCAACTGAATCATTTGACAAGGCGAGCAAGATAATATATTGGGATAGTATATGAACTTACTTTGTTGAGTGTAGTATTGTTATTATGATTGTATTGTGGACAAATAAATATTAAATATTGACTAGTGTAGAGGAATGTATAACTTGTGTCTCTATTAGTCATCTTAAGATAGGTTCCATATATTACTAACGTACTCT